CTTCCTGGGGGCCAAAAAGTTTCTGAGTTCAGTTTAGCCCACAGGACAGGACTGGGGGCGGCAAAGGCAGCGTCCAGGCCCAAGGCAGCTTGAATCCCGGCATGTGCCTGCCTGGGTGAGAGCCCATCCCACTGGCTGAAGCAGGTGACCCGACTATCCCGCCGGTCTCCTGCTCTCCGGGTGCCTTCAAGCCCCTGTGCAGGCGGCTGGGCTGAAGCAGCACTGCCGATCGCACTCGCTTCAGATGTCCATCGGAGTCGAGGCTGATCCGCCACCCAGAAGAACCTGTCTCCCCTTTCAGCGCCTCGGCCTTTCCCTGGCATGGAGACCGAGCGGGATGGCATCTGCGTTGCGCCCGGAGCTGGGAGGAGGCTGCTTTGCCACCTGGCATTCTTCATGACCTGCGCTTCAGGATGCGCTCCTGAGCATGGGCAACGCCGGTGGAGATGGATGGTCTTAGGCAACCCCTGTGAAAGGGTCGTTCAAACCCCAAAGGGGTTGCAACCCACAGGTTGAGAACCCCTGGTGTAAAGGCATGTCTCCTCGGAATCTCCTCAGGTTGGCGCATAGTGATTTTTTAATTTAGTCAACAACAGTTCCCACAGCACTGTACTCACTGGCATAGGAGCCAATAGCACCCTGGCTGTGCCAAACATATCCAGCCCACAGGCACTAAGAAAGAATCCCTTCTTCCTGTCACTATTCACCTCAGTAAGATCACTAGCGATTATGAAGCACTCAAATAGCTCAATAAATGGTTCCCAGAATTCTTTCTCTGCACTGAAGGGTGCGAAACTAGGTACAGCCGACATTTTTTTGAGGCGGAGACTTATGGCGCTAGTCACGGTGGCTGAGGAAATTAAAATCCCATCCACATCGCCAGTTTTGCATATTCTGTGAGAAGGAATAACTGACTGAGGCGAAGATCAATGCAACAAGAACCATTTAATAGGAACCAGCTGGAATGACAGAACAGAACTCTCCAGTTTGACAGCTATTTATATAGCTCCTGTCAAATCAGCAACCAATCAGGACACGAACTGTTTCCCGCCTGAACACTCCCCATTTCTCAGCCAATGGAACTCATCCACAGTCTTGATTGACACATAAGACACAACATATACAGATCCAGGAATAAAATTGTCAATTTCAATTTTTAATTGCTGTCTTCAAGCTCAGAATTTGTCTTGTTCTTCCAATCTGTATCTTCAGAATTTCTCTTATTATTGCTCCAGTCTTTTCCAGAACTCCGGGTAATTCAGCATTTCCATAAGTTAGAAAAGATTGTGGCCTAGATATTTCAAAAAGTGATGCATTCCACAGGGCACTTCACACCTGCAGTTGCACAAACAAAGTCCATGCGCTAAAAATGATGTGCAAAGACATGCTGTTGTTAGATTCCCCCCCGCCCCATGCAGCTGAATTAATCTATTTTGGCAACAAGGTTTAAGGATTATATTTATGCTAGATTTTCAGACTATAGCTCAACAGCCTATAATTTGATAATATGTGGGTATTAATATATTAATGATATCAGGAACTTAATTTGCTAATTTTCTGTTTGTTTGTTTTTCTGTGAAATTAGCAAGGAACAGTTGGACAACATGCCATTTTCTATCATTCTGTCATTTTCTTCTGTAGTATTCAGCAGTCCTGAAGGTAGCTATCAAGTGTCTGGTTTCATTAGGAGGGATATAATTGATATTGTTGCATATTTTTCTTTACAATATGCTGATATTATTTATGAAATATGAATTGCCAGATAGAGATGTTTGTCAGCACCATTTCTGGTGAGTAAACATAAATGCAGGAGCAATATTCATGTTAAATTATTTACTGCTTTGGATGGTTACTGTAAAATTGAGTAGAGACCTCCATCAGTATGGTCTTTGAGCGATGATAAACTTATAGGGGAAAGGGAAAAAATGCAAACTTTTCTGTGTGGTTTTTATTTCCAGAAGATAAATGCCACCAGCTCATCTGAAGGCAGTACTGTGGATGTTGCCCTGCCAGGAGAGGGGGAGCAGGCAGAGATTGAACCCGAAGAAGCTCTTGAGCCTGAAGCCTGTTTCACGGAAGGTAACAGGGTATTTCTGAGCCTGGCTTCCCAGGAACGGCCATTTTGTGAATGAGATCCCTGCACAAGCTGGGCTGGCTTCTAAGCACTAGCAGTCAGATTTCATTCTCACCCATTATGTGGCATTGGTACCTTTGTCCATAACTTACAGAGACGTTGCTTGATTTTCTCAAAAAGGATAGGCCAACTTAAGGCTTATATATATATATATATATATATATATATATATATAT